AATTAAATAAAGAGAAGTAATTAGCTATCTGCTGTGTGATGGTCTACCGCTAAACCGAAAATTTATATATTTTTCGTGCGGATTTACAGAGACTTTATAATATTTATAAATATTAACTTGTTTACGTGCTCAGTAAATACGGCATTTACTTTCATTCAAATGTTTATCGATTAAAAGTTTCGAAGTAATTAGGCAACAGAAAGGTGAGTAAAAATGTTTAATTTTCTTAAAATGCAGCATGTATACTTTTGATTAATATATGCTAAAATTTAAGGAAAAACTCAATACTATGTATTTTTGAATGTTAAAGATATATAAAAATTTAAATTTATGTAATTAAATGGACTTTAAAAATAAACTTAAATCTTTCATTATCACACGACTGGTGTAGGATACGTTTTACGTTCTACCCGTTCGTAACCGCAAACTAATTTTTTTTTTTTTCGATTAATGTACAGAAAATTTTAGAATATTAAGTTAAATATCGCACTAAAGAAAATAAAAACAGCCAATTAAATATTCTGAATATTTGAAACTTTTAAACGTCATTTCTTCACTCAATGGAACCAATGAATTTTATCTGGTAAAGGCACATAATTATTTGAGAAGAATCTTGGAATTTTCAAATTAAATTCCTTTTACACTATTAGTAATTCAGTATTGTAACAGATTCAATTTCTCAATATTTTCTAGTGTAAAGTGATATACACATTTTTACAAGTTCTGTTGTCGTGTATTATCCACTGCTTTAAATACTAGACATATTACACTAGTGGTGATTGAATTACAAGTCTAGTATTTAAGATACAGGATAATAGCGAAAAATAGAACTTGCAAACAAATAATTATGCATGATGCAATTTCAAGAAATTTAAGTTTTCTACTAAGCCACATTTTAACGATCTAGGACGACAGTCGATGTAGTATAAGAAGTTAGAAAATTGCCCTAAAAACACATTCTGTTTGACTTATGTAAAGATGTGGAGACAACTATAGCTTATAGTCACATTTTTTAAAGGTTTATCCTAACTATCAATTCTGTAGGCGACTTGAGTTTTAATTAACCCCTTAACGACCACCTGTTTTTAATTATAATGTAATTAAGCATAAAAAATATACTTAAAACTGAAAGTAACGAAAGAAATGCGTTTATTTTGAAGAAAAAGCTTCGAAGTTTAAGTTCCTATGTCTCGCCTTTCTGAGAAATTTAACATCGATGAGTCATTGTTTATACAGCTGGATGACCTTGAGAACAGCTGGAGTCGGATTTCCCCGGGTAGGTTGAATACTAACTAGGCCTATAATTTTTAAAAATATTTATATTTTTAAAAAATTAAAAATTTTATTGCGATTTCCTACCCCTTTCATTAATTAACTTTATATAAAATAAAATATATTAATTTAAAAAATTTTAAAACTTTTGGAGGTCGTTTTTGACATCAGAAAGTAGCTTTAAATAGCTTTACCGAAGGAAAATGTATGCGCTAGAACTTTAGAACGATGAATTAAATTTGATTAAAAAAAAATCCCATTAAAAACAATTAAGTTCTAGTTTAATCACTTTTTATAAGTTCTAGTTTAATCGCTTGTTTAATCACTTTTGATAAGGCTCTTAATCGAGCCTTATCTTAGTTTTTTTTTAATTAGTCTTTGATAAGGCTCTTAATCGAGCCTTATCAAAGACTAATTAAAATCGTGATAAAATTTTTTCGGGCGGGCAAAAATTTTTGCGAAAATTTGTGGACCTAAAAAACATTTCAAAAATTGAAAAAAAAATTTTTGTCAAAAGTGTTACCGAGTGTTGGGGATTTAGGAAAACATAATTTGTCAAAACACATAGTTTCCTAATATCGCAGCAAACAGCAGAAATTGTAACAAACTGATTTTAAGCACCACAAAAGTATAGAATGGATTAGTAAATGAATGTAAAAAAATTATATATTACAAAATAGTTTAATTTAGTAATTTGTTTTGCCCACCTCCTTTACTAGTAACACTGAAAATGCAATTTGGCATGCTTTCAACAAGGTTTTTTTATGATTGATGCCTTAAGTAAGATTCAAGAAGTGACAATTGCTTGTTTAATCACTTTAATAGAGGTAAAATCTTTTTTATGCCTTATCTCTTGCTTTGGCAATTCTCATCAACTGCCTTTCACCGCCTTTGCTTTCGAAAACTTTATAAGCCTCTTCAGAAGCCTTTGCTTTCGCAATAGCCATCGCCTTTTTAATCATTTTATTTGCCAAATGGTAAGTTTTTTTATCTTTCGGCCTTCCCCTCAAATCCCACCTTTTCTTTTTCTCTTTCTTTTGTTTAACTGCAGCTTGTACCTCAGCGTTCCATCACCAAAGTTTCTTTCCTTCTGGCGATCACTTCCCTAAAGTTTTTTCCAAAATCTCTTCTCCAAATTTCAAGACGCAATTACTATTTAGCAACCACCATTTTTGCACACCATCCGGGAACTGGATTTTTTTAACACTTTTACCTTAAACTGTTTGCTTAATTCCTCCTCTTTTAATCTCCAGCATTTGATCCTTCGTTCAATCTGTCTAACACAATTCTTACAATGGCATACAAGAAAGTCACAAACCACTATAACATATGTTATGCAGCAACACTTTCTCCATTTAACACCTTACTGTTTCTCACTTCTCTCAGATGTCTCCTGAGGCATAAGAAAAAAATCAATTTGCTGGATCTACCTTTACTCATGTATGTAACCAGTTGATTTGCTTACTTTTCAAAGTAGGTGTTAACTAGCGCTAGGTCAAAAGCCACAGCACGATTGACTAGTCTTTCTCCCTCTCCATTCCTTTCTTCTACACTGCACCTCCCAAGAACTCTTCTTTCCACATTCTTCCTCTTCCCAACATGACCATTTAAAATTTGATAAACATCAAGGCAATAAAATGATTAATTTATTTATTGATGGATCAGATAAGCTATTTTAAAACACTAAAGTGATGTAAACAAAGCTGTTTATATAAATAACATTTTGAAAAAAAATTGGCATTTATAATAATAACAATTCCTTATTTAATTAATAACAATGAGTTTAACGCAAAATTATTTTACGACCCACCAGTTTTTTGATTCCGAAATTGGAACTCATTATAGGATTTTTGAAAACTAAAATTTACTTATATTAAAGATAATTACACAAAAGTCAAACGTTTGAGAGTTTGAAAGTCAAATTTCGAATAGTGCAGTAAAATTGTTCGTGGCATACTACTTGTTTTAAACTAAAACAGATTTAGTTAGAATTCAATAAATACAGGGCGTCCCAAATTAAAATTGACATTTCCCAGCTGGCTACAGCAAAAAGTATTCTTTAGAAAGCCATGAAAGTTTGGGAATGCCTTAATGGGATAATGGAATTTTTTCTATTACAAAAAAGTTACTTCTAACAACCACCACTACAAGACTTATTACAGTGTAGGCTATGGTCGTCAGGCACTATAGTCTTTGTCTGGTCGATGCGGTTGCATCTCTATCTGTGTACGTCTGACCTCGTGAATCACCAGAGGAAAAAGTAAGTTTTCTTCGGTGTCGCTGACGTCATCACTACGGAGATCCTCTGGTGGAGCCCTCAACAGCTTTATACAGAACTTAACAGTGAGATACTATACTGCTATGATGTATTTCAAGCCATGTGCATAACATTCAAAAATATACACTGCATGCAATCGTCGAACAAGCTGTTTTACGCTTTCAGATGGTAGCAGAGAATGATAGCCATTTTTTTTTAACACAGATAACTTGTGTTTCTCATTGTTAAGTTCTGTATAAAGCTATAATACGCCATCTAGTGGTGGTTTTTGGAATAGTTTTTGCTTTAGCTAGCTGAGAAATGTCAAGTTTAATTAGGGACACCCTGTATATTTTCCCTTATTTTGTAATTCTCATTTACCTAACATATATATGAGGTTACCAACGCTAATCATATTTATGAAATCGAAGTAACTTAGTTGATACTTAATACATCAGCGTTTTCATATTGAAACTACTCAAAATGTCAATTAAAATTTATTTTCCTAAACAATCCGTAATTATTAACAGTGAGCCAGAATCACCCTGTAAACAAAAATTAAATTTTTTAAATGAAATTACAATCTTAAGTTTACTCAGATGGTTCAAAATTCACCTTAACTTTATTTTTCATCCGTGTTCATACCTGACTTAACAGCTGTCGGCTTGCTGTTTTCCGATTTCTCTTCGCATATACAGAATATAAATAAGTGCAAATTTCTTACAGGCAATTCCCTTGGGCAATCTCCCAAAAGGAATCCCCTGAACAAAAGATTTCCTTCGAAAGATCGCCAAAAAGTTTTGGATTTCTTTATTTGTCAATCCAATTGAAGTCTGATAGACAAGCTCCCAAATAGGTGTTAGACACGCGAAGAAAACCCGGAAAAGTCTTGGCCAACCAGTTGATGAGGCGACCCTGTGTTCAGTGGTTTATCTACTAGGCCGCAGGTAAGTAGGAGAGCACACCAAATTTACATTGTTTACAGATTTTTCCGATACCACGACTGTACAAAAATAACATAATAAATAAAATGATATTTTTGAAGGAAACCTGTCACTTTTCTCTAATAATGCAACGTGAAAACTTTTTATAAAAACTAAAACATTAAGAAAACAAATTTTAAAGTATCTTTTACATTATTTTTCCCTTCTAAAATTTAATAATACAAAATAGCAAATCCAGACAAAAATTACAAGAATCATAAACAAAGCCAGTTATAAAACTAGACATTTTTTTGCTTTCTTACTAGTCACGATACCTAAAGTAATATGTTTGTAATACCAAACTGAAGTATTAATGTTTTAAAAAATGTAATATGTTTTTCAGGAAAAAATAGTGTACAGACAATATTTACAGTGTATCGAATATATAACAGTCAATATTATTAAATAAAACACATTTATTTGTCGTATTTTTAATGAATATGATACTTCTGGATCAAATTCCTTAATATGAGGTAAACTTGTTTATTTTTTTTTTTGTCATATTATATGAAGTAAAGAGGATTCCACTCTCTTATTTATATAGTTGTTATTACTTCGTTATGTTCGTCCTAGTGTAGAAATGGTTTAAATCATCGCTTCTACTGCAGAAAGGTAAGTTTTAGAACAATTATATTCACATTACAGGCTAGACGGAATATAATTTATTGCTATTAACGTATAAATAGTTAAATTTATGAGACATTGCTGTGAGAAGTACCGCCACTCTTCTGTTATGGATTTGTTTACAGTTGTTGCTGCTAGCCAGTACTGAAAGATGTTCTTTTTATTACATCCGTATTGTCCTTTATTAATTGTGACGAAATTAATTCGTGGCCCACCAACGGCAGGGTTGATGAAACCACTGAATATGGTAATTGGTTGCGGGTTTAAACCCTATTAACGCTCTGGCAACGTAAAGATTTTTGACATTTACTTCATGTCTTTGTTAAACACGGGTTAAATACCACGAGAACAATTCGAAAATATTTTCTGCAAATCTGAAATTTATCTTATTCTAAAATAAATACACTGTTTAGGTATACGTAGTGTAGATATGGTGTTAATGATTAGAAACTGGTTGGTATTAAAAAACACGTTAAAGATAGCTCTTTGGTGATAGTCTATCGGCATATCAAAGTATATGCAATTCATCTCTGATTCAGTTTTTCTGAATAATAACTTCTTGTATAAACCCATTAACTGAGAAAAATTTTTTTAAAATAACTTATTAAGAATTTAAGAATATTCTTACGTAACCTATTCGTTACTCTTAACTTAGTACTGTTAGACGGTTTGAACTAGTACTTCTTCTCATGAGGCCGATAGAATGAAAAAGAACATTTATTTTCAGAATATTTATATTTCAGTTGCTGTCAACAGTCATAAAGCTTCAACGTTGTTTTTGGGTGATAACTATGAAGAGTTTCCTGAGGTATGTTCTTATATTTTTATAATATAAATATTTCAATTTTTGTCATAGACATGTTGAAAATACTGTAATAATATAAACTTTTTCGTTGAGTTTAAACTATATTTTTATTTAAGTGTTTACAAATTATAGCTTTGGACTATTACTTTTCTTCCTAAGTGCTAAATATTTCCTGTGTTTATGTGAGAAAAATGAAAGCAAGTCGGGTAAGAGCAACAGTGTTAATTAACACATAACTATGTGAAAATTATCGTGATTGGTTGAGAAATAATTTTGAATATTTTCAGGAATTGTGCGTAGGATGGTTGGCGGTTCGCTTGCAGAAAAAGGCCAATTACTATTCTTAGTGAGTTTTTTTTAATCGCTTCTTCAAGATTTATACAAATAATTTTTTATCTATAAATAAATTTATAATTTAGGTATCCATATTCGAAAAAAATAAATTTCGTGGTGGGTTTTCGTTAATAACACCGAAAACATTAGTTGGAGCAGCGCATATTATAGATAGGTACTTAATGATTATTTTAATATTAATGAATAAAAATCTAATTGGACGTTAAATATTTTGATACTTTTTTTCGTTAGTGTTAGATATGAATTCAATTTTATTTAAAATTTTTAAGAATATTTTTAAGAAATACAATTAAAATAGGTAAATTAGTATAACATAAGTATAATCAGGGCCGGATTAACCCACTTTGGGGCCCTAGACATTTTCTTCTTCCGGGTTCCCTCCCGGTTCTTTCAATTAATAAATCTTGTTACTATTATTTCTATTAAATTTCATACGGACACTGCAGCTGCTTTATAAAAAATAAAAGCGAAATTATTTAACAAAATTTCACAGGATTTAAGAATACATATAGTTAATAATATTCTCATCGCTATAAAGAATATTCTAAATTATTAGGTGTTTTACTTTCAATAAGAAGAAACATAAGAATACGAGGGTTGTACAAAAAGTTCCCGAACTTTATTTATTACAAAAAAGAAATACTTCACATACAATTTATTTGTCAGGGTCCCCTTCAAAGTAGTCTCCTCCGCAACATATACACTTATTTCAACGGTGTTTCCACTTTTTGAAACATCTTGGAACGCTTTTTCCGGAATGCTCATAAGCTCCTCTGTCGTTTTTTCTATCTCTGGAATGGTGACAAGTCTTTTTTTATTTGAGCGTGTTTTTTAGTTTGTTGGAGAACAGGAAAAAGTCGCATCAGGTGAGTAGGGTGGGTGTGGAAGCACAGCGGTCTTGTTTTTGTCCAAAAACTCGTGTTCTGAGGGACAAATGAGCCGGCGCGTTGTCGTGGTGAAGAAACCACTTGCTGCTCCTCCAAAGTTCGGGCCGTTCTCGCCTGATTTTGTTTCTTAGGCGTTTCATAACACCAGGTAGTACTCCGTGTTGACTGTCTGGCCTATAGATAGGTATTCGTGATGCACAACCTCCTTTTCATCGAAAAAACAGTCAACATCACCTTAACATTTGAGCGAACTTGTCGAGCTGTTTTGGTGCAGGTGGCTGTTTCCGTGAAGGATTTTCCGAGTTTCACACAGAATTTTACAGAACAACGCTGTTCTTTCAAAGAGCTGATTTCCGCGGATCCGATTTTCGCCGAACCCTACAAACACCACTTCACATAAACGGTCGTAGCTAATCACCAAAACAAGATATCAACAAACGGGTTGAAGGAGGTTACTCGGGGAGTTTCCGCGAACACAACGCCTCTAAGCGGATTAAAAATAACAAACTGGAGGCGCGCTATTCAAAAAATTCGGGAACTTTTTGAACAACCCACGTAGATTTTCTTTAGATTTTAGAATTCACAATAACCATATAAAAAGCAATATGTTTTTGTTTATTTGTTTATTATATACTGTTGTCCAACAGAAAAGTATTTACAAATCTTTTCAAAATAGACAGTTTGATCGGGCCCTTCTAAAAACCGGGCCCTAGACATTTGTCTCATTTGTCTATGCGATGATCCGGCCCTGAGTGTAATTCTAATAATAGTCTAATAAATCTTAAGCATAATGTCAATCAAAATTGCTAAAGTGTAGGGCATCATCTTATTGTACTTGAACATCTAACAAGTTGGAATATGATTTGAATTGGAACAACTCAACCCCCTGAACACACGTGCTTGTCCTGCCTACGCGATCCAATACCAATTTTGGCCAATCTCATTTTTTTGTAAAAGAAACTGTCTAATTATACATTATGAATAAGCTATTGCACAACGTGAAACAGTCAAGCAATGAATTACATTCTTAAATTATTAAAAAGTAATCATACACGAGCCCGGAATTATTTTTATTTCCAAAATAAAGACAATACAAACAATGTTTATGTCCTTTAAATTTTCTTTACTCCATTCAGGGGCTAATCGATTTAGTTCCCTGAACACTTGGAGTTTCGTCGTGGGTTCGCACCTCGCCAGGACAAGCTGATCGTGTGGAATTTTTCGGGTTTTCTCCACGTCAGTAACGCCTGAATAGAGTCAGTTACCCTTTAAAAACCCTTCCGGAAGGCATACACTTTAGGCAGATTGTTCACGTGTTGCGTTGTCGTACCTAAACAAAACAAACATTCCATTCAGTTACTAAACACTAGGCGACTTGAAGCAAAAAACTCGACCGATAAACACTATTAAAAATTACACATTAAAAATGATCTGGACGGCGACTTTTCGTTGTAGGATTCGACTTCTACAAACATTAAAAAAATATTAAAATATTCACAACAGCATCCAAGTCATATAATCGAGCTTATTAACTGAAAGTCTTCCGGTAGAGTTTTTGGGCAAGAGGGTTTGGGTATGTGTGGCGTATGTATTTGTGTATGCTCCTGTGTTTGCACTCATGTAAAAATGCATAAATATTTAAAAAGAATCATGATGACGTAACATTGCATAGATAGACTTACATATTTTATACGTCTACAAAAATATGTTTATAAATCACAATAATAAAAAATATATATTATGTGAATACATTTTATAAATGTTTATGCATTGCGTTTTTACATTGCTTAATAATTATTTATTTAAAAATTTATTTTTCACTAGAGATGAAATGGTAGATTTATTTGGAAGAATAGGAGACGTTAATAAATTTCGAGGAGAGAAAATACTATTTGCAAAGAGAATTTTACATCCAGATTATGTCCCAGGAATATTTTACAATGACATTGCACTTCTGATTCTTCTAACTCGTATTGACGATATCAGTACAATTGCTTTACCACCAAGAAATTTAAAATTTACTAAAGGGTATGCCACGTTTGCTGGTTGGGGGTTAACTGGTCAAAGTAAGTTTACTATTTATATTAAAATCCTACGGAGTTTTGATTCATTTTTATTTCTTTATACATTTTTAAAATGTGTTGTTATATCAATGTATTTAAACATACTTACAGGAAGCAAAAATCTTTTTTAATTAACCACTTGAATAGCATGGCTTGGACCATGGCACCACAACAGCAACTACATTCAAACAAATAATTGCTTTATCTATTTCAGGTAAACGAGATAAAACCTCATTTCTCCGTGTTTCAAAAGTAAACATAGTGGACCCGCAAGAACCATCAAATAAGTTTAACTTTACTTCAACCGGAAAAGAAATTATGACAGTAACTCCTGGTGTTCATGGAATGAATGTAAAATTCTTAACATTTTTTATATTGATGTAACAAATAATGGTATTCTACTAAATATTATAATTTATTTCTGTTTACAGGGTGATTCCGGCTCACCACTGATGATCAGAGAACACAATCAGTCGGGAAGATACATTATTATTGGTGTTCTGAGTAGTTGTAGCACTGATGATCATGAACCTGACGTTTACATGTCAACCAGTGCTTATTTTGATTTCATACACAATAACACTATTGGTACCCCGATATATGTTAATGTACGTTGATTAATTAATTAAAAAAAATATGGACATATTTCTCAATTATAAATAAATTTATATTCTGCATCGAACTTTAAATTGCACTATTTTAATTTAGTTTGGATAACAATATTTACAATTAAAATGACGAATAATTGTATTTTCAGTCCAATTATGTAATCGTTGTTTTTTCTCAGCATGCCCAAAAATTTTCGTCAGGATTCGCCCCTGTTGAACAGCAATGTTCAATATTCTAAAGAAATTGTGAATTTACTGTAGATAGAAAAGAATAATATAACAAAGTAAGATCAAGTAATCTATTAATTGCTACTTGGAGTTTGGTACTTTGGTATTTGGGTATATGTTAATGCTACTAGGTACAACGATCAAAGAACATTAACATGAAAAGTAAGCAAAAAGAAAGAATTCTGAAAGACACAAACTTTGGACTATCACAATTTTATTCAACATTTATATAAAAGAAGCTATGAAGGAATACATTTAAACTAATCACAATGGTATAAAGATAAACGGTAAAATCATGAAGACTTTCTGCATATGGCATATTTCTGAATACAAACTGTAGACAAGAACTACGGATAGCATTAAGAAATCTTACGACTCAATGACGGTCAATGCAACTTGAAAGTAAATCATTCAATGAAACAAGTAATGTATGTTCCGTTCAAGAGGAAACGAAAGACATGGTAAAATAACATTGGAAGAGAAAAACTAACATTGGAGATCTTCTGTTACCTGGGAATCCTCATAACATTTGACAGAAGGTGTGAAAAGATGGAGAGTTATATGGGAGAAGGAAAAGTGTTCTACAGTATGAAAAATATGCTAATATCACAGAATACCTCTGTGTATGTGAAGAAAAATCTAACCGGAATGTTCTGTTTGTAAAGTAATCTTATGGGCTCTGAAACCTACATTGCAGGAAAAAAAAACGACAAAACTATAGGTCTTTGAAATATGATGGAGGAAATGAATAAGGTATATTTGTTGGACTGTGAAACTATTCAATAAATAGGTTTTAGAAGAAGAGCAAGAAAAATCAGAAGCATTCTCAATACTTTAATTAAACGAAGAAACGTGATATCTATTACAGACAGGACATTTATTAGGACATTTTGAATGGATTATAATATTATCCGTAGGAATGACGGAGAGAAAAGTAGTAAGAGAACAACGAAGAATGAAGTGCTGGGATATAATGAAACATGAAACATATTACAGTAACAAGTACTAAATAGAAGTGAATGGTGGACTTCATACTGCTTACAAACTCTTGGATTGATGAGAGAAAAACTGGTAAAATAAATAAATTATTAGTCATACATAATGTTGTTTATTATATATAAATATAATATACTCTTCACATATAATATTTAACGTGTAAATCATTACGTGATTATATAATTTTAATCTCACCTGTAAATTATTCTTTACTATAGGCATATGCTTATGTACTGTACATAATAATGCCTCTACACAAGTTTTTTAAACTAAGAAAAGTAGAAATATGTTTACAAATCAAAATAGTAGTATAATATTTTACTTTATTCCATCTAATGCTCGTTTTTTATTAATATATATTTAGTTTTTTCAGCTGTAATATTAAAGAATACTATGAAAGAATAGGTGACGTTAATAAATGTAAAGGAAAGAAAGCGCTGTTTAAAAAGAAATTTATACATCCGTGTTATAATGAAGTAAAATATTACCATAATATTGGGCTTCTGATTCTTAAAAATCGTATTGAAGATATACGTCGAATTGCTTTACCTGGAAGAAATGCAAAATTTACTAAAGACTGTGCTAATTTTGTTGATTGAGAATTGACTGGTCCGAGTAAGTTTATCTTTCATTTTTCAGCACTCAACAACCGGAAAAGATCATTTATTATATTTTAAACTTTTAAAGAGACTATATACGTTCATATTTTACATGGGCCTACAAGTATTCAAAATCCTTAAATATTTTCTTAAAAAGTGTTTTTAAGGCAAGGTATTCATTTTAAATCAACATAATAGACTTTATAGAACTTTTAGATTAACAAAATGTTTGAGGTCTTAGACTCTAGAACCACAATATTTTGTTGATATAAATTCTTTTATAAGTAACGAGTAAGTAAAGAGAAATAAATTCAGATTATTTTGATCGTGTGGACCCTCAGGAAGCGAGAAATTTTGGAAGAGTTTATAGACTTCTCATGGCGATCTAGATGCAGCCAGTAAATTCTCCCGAAACTTCTCTCTAACATTGCCCACAATTAAAATAACTTGATAACAGTAATTTAATATTAAGTCATATAATTAAAATATTAATAATAAAATAAGCTTTCTTTATTTATGGCAACGCAACACTTGGGCGATGCCTTCCGGGAGGTCTTTTAAGGGAAACTGGCCCCCAATTAGGCGTTACAGACGTGGAGAAAACCCGGAAAACTGATGCACATCTGTCTAGAAACCGGTTTTCCCCTGAAACTTTCAAGGAAATAACACGCCAACGTCGACAAACAGCTTTTTTCAAGGACATTTAGCTTTGTATGCCCAACTGCGGCTGATATAACGTGATTCGTTGCGATTTTTCTGTTATGTGAAAGATAATTCGTTTCTAAATACCGTAAACCGAATGAAAAAGTACCGCGTTGTAAGAAAATTTTCGCATTTTTCCAATCGCGTTGGAGTGAAAACGCGTTGTAAAGGTACCTCGTTATAGTAGACCTACCTATAATTTATTTTTTTTTGGCCTTTAATGACAACGTTTCTGCGATTGATAGTTAATCAATGACCGAAGGACATACTGTAAAAATTTCCAAGTAAAAAACAATAAAAAAGTATGTTTATAATTTATATGTGAGATTTCAACAAGTACGCCCAAGACTCTCAGATACAGTGTACATCGTTTATATTAATCAGCTTTTATGTTAAATTTTTCTATTAAATACATTTTATATATAGAAACAGTGTAAAAAAATATCACCTGAAAGATTATTCTGTGTTTTAAAGTATTCGCAAAAAATTATGTTTAAAGTTCCTTTTTCTTCATTTATTCAAGTTTATTGCAGCTGTATAAAGACGTATGAATTTCACGATAGAAAGCAAATTATACTAAGATCATTATTTTGCGAACAATACTGTGTTTATAATGCCGTATTTATAATAAACTATGTCTCTAATTTCATTTGAAATACGTATACATTGATAGTTTCTAGACGATATAACCCATATAAATACAAGTTTCGTATTAATTTTCTCATGTGCAGTATAAACAGGGCATTAAATTTTATTAAAATGTTTATTGATTAAAAGTTTCGCCGTAATTTAAGAGACAGAGAAAAGTAGGTAAACTTTTTTAACTTTTCCAAATGTAGCATGTATATTATATAGGCTAAATATAAAAAATCAATATTATACTTATTTAATTACAACTTTAGAATAAATGCTCGTTTTTTATTAATATATATTTAGTTTTTTCAGCTGTAATATTAAAGAATACTATGAAAGAATAGGTGACGTTAATAAATGTAAAGGAAAGAAAGCGCTGTTTAAAAAGAAATTTATACATCCGTGTTATAATGAAGTAAAATATTACCATAATATTGGGCTTCTGATTCTTAAAAATCGTATTGAAGATATACGTCGAATTGCTTTACCTGGAAGAAATGCAAAATTTACTAAAGACTGTGCTAATTTTGTTGATTGAGAATTGACTGGTCCGAGTAAGTTTATCTTTCATTTTTCAGCACTCAACAACCGGAAAAGATCATTTATTATATTTTAAACTTTTAAAGAGACTATATACGTTCATATTTTACATGGGCCTACAAGTATTCAAAATCCTTAAATATTTTCTTAAAAAGTGTTTTTAAGACAAGTTATATGTTCATTTTTAAGACAAGTTTTATGTTCATTTTAAATCAACATAATAGACTTTATAGAACTTTTAGATTAACAAAATGTTTGAGGTCTTAGACTCTAGAACCACAATATTTTGTTGATATAAATTCTTTTATAAGTAACGAGTAAGTAAAGAGAAATAAATTCAGATTATTTTGATCGTGTGGACCCTCAGGAAGCGAGAAATTTTGGAAGAGTTTATAGACTTCTCATGGCGATCTAGATGCAGCCAGTAAATTCTCCCGAAACTTCTTTCTAACATTGCCCACAATTAAAATAACTTGATAACAGTAATTTAATATTAAGTCATATAATTAAAATATTAATAATAAAAGAAGCTTTCTTTATTTATGGCAACGCAACACTTGGGCGATGCCTTCCGGGAGGTCTTTTAAGGGAAACTGGCCCCCATTTAGGCGTTACAGACGTGGAGAAAACCCGGAAAACTCATGCACATCTGTCTAGAAACCGGTTTTCCCCTGAAACTTTCAAGGAAATAACACGCCAACGTCGACAAACAGCTTTTTTCAAGGACATTTAGCTTTGTATGCCCAACTGCGGCTGATATAACGTGATTCGTTGCGATTTTTCTGTTATGTGAAAGATAATTCGTTTCTAAATACCGTAAACCGAATGAAAAAGTACCGCGTTGTAAGAAAATTTTCGCATTTTTCCAATCGCGTTGGAGTGAAAACGCGTTGTAAAGGTACCTCGTTATAGTAGACCTACCTATAATTTATTTTTTTTTGGCCTTTAATGACAACGTTTCTGCGATTGATAGTTAATCAATGACCGAAGGACATACTGTAAAAATTTCCAAGTAAAAAACAATAAAAAAGTATGTTTATAATTTATATGTGAGATTTCAACAAGTACGCCCAAGACTCTCAGATACAGTGTACATCGTTTATATTAATCAGCTTTTATGTTAAATTTTTCTATTAAATACATTTTATATATAGAAACAGTGTAAAAAAATATCACCTGAAAGATTATTCTGTGTTTTAAAGTATTCGCAAAAAATTATGTTTAAAGTTCCTTTTTCTTCATTTATTCAAGTTTATTGCAGCTGTATAAAGACGTATGAATTTCACGATAGAAAGCAAATTATACTAAGATCATTATTTTGCGAACAATACTGTGTTTATAATGCCGTATTTATAATAAACTATGTCTCTAATTTCATTTGA